TTGTAACACCTGTTCCAGGTATTTTTTTTCAAGTTTTAGGGTTTTAGGCTCGGAATCGACGAGTTGGGGTGCTCCAACTTGTCGAGTAGAGATTATCTATGTGGATGCGGAATTTGGATCCTACTCGACGAGTCGAAAGGCCCCAACTCGAGGAGTAGGTGCTGTAAAGGAAAACCTTAGTTTTTAGGGTTTGCACCCTATATAAAGGACTTAATATACCTCTTGTGGCCTCCCTTACCAATTCACTACCCAGAGAAGAAACCCTAAGTTGTTGTTTTTTGTTTCCTTGTGGTTGAGAGGCTAAGAGAAAGTTTCTGGTGCATTTTGTTGAAGGAGTTTGAACCATGAGAAGCTTGGAACGTGAAGGAGATTGTAGATCCAACATCTACAATGTTTGGGCACCCATTTGAAGGTAACGAGTTGTTACCATGATCATTCTAGCATTAGATCCCCTTTTTCTTGGGTTTTAGGCCATTTTCAGTATATTAGTGAAGCATTTCAGGTGTTAGGTAAGATCTAGAGTTGCATCTTCAGATCTGGACTGCTCTAAGTCCTTAGAGTTATAAATTAACTGAATTTATCAAGCTTTGGCCCTTCTCTTTGGCGAAAACCCCTCCCTTAGCTTGGTATTGGACTTAAGAGCTTGCATGCACGTAAAGTTTGCAACTTTACGTGGAAACCACGCCTTAGGAGGCTAGATATTCAATTTGGAGCTTTGGAGTGGCTTAAAAACATTCAAACACAAAATGGACTGAAGGAACTCATTGAGTCCTTTGGCCAACTCGACGATTCGGGTAGGGTTTACCCATTTTTCGAGATTTCAAGTGATTTCTATGAAGGATTGGAGTATTCGGTCTACATGGGTTTTCGGTTTTCAGGACATTGAGGAACTCGATGAGTTACACAGGTAACTCGGCAAGTTGAGAAGTTACTCAGGTAACTCGACGAGTTGCTGGATGCACTCGATGAGTGAAGGTCAACATGGACCGTTGACCTTGACTGTAGACCTTGACTTTGACCAGGGTTGACCAATGTTGACTTTGAGAATATTTATGGAATTTCGGGATTGTGACAAGTTAATCACATGATGATTATAGGCAGTTGAGTTGGAGCAGCACATGGGATTTATATGATCTTAGTTTGTCAGTTCAACATTCACGAGAGGTGAGCCTCCTCACCGTACCAATGGGTCGAAGGAATCAAGGCCGATCCATTTTGTGATATGTGGTATACTCATTGTTGTAGAGATATGTGGTATGATAGTTAGTTAGGATTAGTGTTATGCTAGCTATATATGTGATACTTGTAGGGAAGATGATGCGGGGAGCCCATGGCACTTGGATGTAAGACCATGTGGGGGAGCCCATGGCTTTGTCAATTAAAGACCATGGGGGGAGCCAGTGGATCTTGGATGTAAGACCATGTGGGGGAGCCCATGGCTTTCCAGCTAAAGACCATGGGGGAGCCCATGGCACTTAGGTGTAAGACCATGTAGGGGAGCCCATGGCATCCCACAGTAAGACCTTGGGAGGAGCCCACAACATCCTTTTATGTTTATATGCATGGCTTATATGGTATATATAGCGTTCATAGCTAATATGATATGTGTTTCTATGGATTGTGTGTGGGGTATGCTCTGGGGAATTCACTAAGAATTAGCTTACAGTTTGTGGATTTGTTTAAGGTACATCTGAGCCCAAGGGAAAGGGAAAGCCTTACTGGCACGCCATGCACTCTCTCTAGCATTTTTATGGGACACTCTGATGATTTGAAATAATATTTTTATTATTATGAATATGAAAACAAATGTATTTAGATTTTATGGCTTATGGTAAATGTTTTTGATTATTTAAAAATGAAAATTTTCTTTTGAAAATTTGGTCGTTATAGACGGTCAGAGTGAGCGGACCATACAGACCGTTGAGGATATGTTGAGTGCATGTGTCATGTGTCATTCATTCTAGTATTGGTGCTCCACCATTTGAGCTGTTGTATGGATAGAGATGTCGCACTCTAGTCTGTTGGGTGAGATTGGTCATAGGGTGATGGGTCAGAAAAAGGTAGTTCTGCAGACTACCGAGCGGATTTAGCAGATCCTATAGTAGTTGTAGATTACTCATAGTCGGTAGAAGAGTTATGCCGATTGGCGCCGATTTGAGTTGGAGTTTCAGGTTGGTGACATGGTACTACTGAAGGTATCAACTTGGAAGGGTGTGATTCGATTCAGTAAGAGGGGGAAGTTGGGCCCCCAATACATTGGACCCTTTCGGGTTATTGCTAGGGTTGGAAAGGTGACACGTAGCTGGATCTCCCGGAGGAGCTCAATCAGATTCACAACACTTTCCTCGTCCCTTAGTTGAGGAAGTGCATATTATATGAGGAGGAAGTGGTGTCGTTAGATGATATTCAGGTCGATGAGCGTCTGAATTACATGGAGAGGCAAATAGTTGTTAGGGAGAGGAAAGTGAAGGCTCTATGGAAGAAGGATGTACCTTTGCTTAAGGTACAATGGGAGCACCAGAGAGGATCTGAGTGGACTTGGGAGCCGGAGGCTGAGATGCAGGAGCATTACCCGAATCTGTTTGCTATAGCAGACTTTGAGGACAAATTCTAGTTCAAGTGTGGGAGAATTGTAACATCCCGACTCCTAGTTATAAATTTGAAGCTTTAATATTTATATTTTTTTAGACCTACTCGATGAGTTGGTTTCCCCAACTCATCATGTAGAAACTGGTCAGACTGCATGAACTTTAGGACCTACTCGACGAGTTGGAGGAACCAACTCGACGAGTAGAGGCTGTGCATGAAAACCCTAATTTTTATGGTTTGCACCCTATTTAAACGACCTCAAGTCCTCCTTCCAGCCTCCCTTACCACATCCACGTCCAAAAACAAACCCTAATCGACCTAACCTCCTATTTGAGTGCGTGTGAGGCTAAAGAGTGTGTATTTGGTGCATTTCTTGAGGAGACTTGAAGGTTGAGAAGCTCGGAACGAGAAGGAGCTTGTAGATCTAGCATCTACTTCGTTTTGGCTTTCATTTGAAGGTAAAGAGTCATTACCTTGATCATTTTCTTGTTACATCTCTTCATTCAAGGGTTTATGGTCATTTCTAGCTTATTATTGAGGTATTTATGGTATTGCGCACGATTTAAAGTTGTAACTTCAGATCTAGACTCCTCTAGCCCCCCATAGTCATAAAGTTATTGGCTTTATCTAGTCTTGGACTTTCTCCATGCCCTAAACCTCTTCCTAAGACTAGTTTTGGGTGTTTTAACCTCTTGAGGCCTAGCATGGACATAAATTTGGCAAATTTACGTGGTAACTACACCCTAGGAGGCTAGATCTACAGTTTGGAGCCTTGGTTTTGCTTAAAAGTGTTTAAATGAGAAAAGGGCTAAAGAAAATAAACTAGTTGCTTAGTTAACTCGACGAGTTAGATGAGAGTTTCCCGTTTTCTAAATTATGAGTGAACTCGGTGAGTTAGAGAGATAACTTGGTGAGTTGGTTATGGTTTTCCCGATCTTCTGGACAGTGCATGGACTCGACGAGTTGTATGGTAACTCGGCGAGTTGACTAGGGTTTCCATAATTTTCTGAGTTTGGAAGGAACTCGACGAGTCTGTAAGCTCTACTCGACAAGCATCTTCTTCATCGCGGGAAGATGAAGGCTTGATTGTGCTCCTCCTCACATTTTATGATTTTGATTTATGTGATACTCTGATATGAAACTATTTTGAAAACATTTTGTGATAATTAATGGTTTTTGAATGCTTGAAAAAAGTTTAAATTTTTATGAATTTTATGGATGTTACAAAATGCCTTTAGTGACGTCACCACGTAACAGTTGGTCCTTCGAAGACCGGTATGAGTTTCCAGCCAATGACTCTAATGCAGGTGAGCCACAGGACATGCAGATAACTCTTCTACAACTTTAGCTTGAGGTGCCACTCAGCAGGGAGGAAGTGAATGCAAACCAGTGAGAGCTCATGGAAAGTCTTCACCAGGAGATGGATTCCATGAATCGGGAGGTCGACGATGTAAGGGCAGGTGTATTAGAGATGTCCCATTTAGCAGATGACCTGAGGAACCATTATTATTCCCTCCATCCTGCGTATGTTAGGGCATTGACTGACACTGCTACGATGAAGAAGATGCTTGTTGTTACAAGTTTACTTGGAGTGGTCGCTGTTTCGGGAGTGGCAGCAGCTTACAAGTGGTTCTGATGAAGGGTCTTTTCTTTACTTTGTTTGGGTTTTCATTTTTGGGTGTTAACTGTTAAGTGTTAGTGTTTTGGTGGAAGCTGATAGTATAATTAAGGCTTTCTGCTTTTGGTATGGTAGATATTGTTTTGTTTGTGGATGGAAAATATGGAAGTTGCTCTTTTGTTTTTCAATGATATTATGTAAAAAACATAAATGAATGCAAATGATTATTATGGCATTATACATATCGTGTCTTTATTTTAGTATATGTCAATGCATGTTGTAGGACTCAAAGCTTGAACTTATTCTATATACATATTGGGGACCACATGATTTATAGGAAGAAGGTTTGTTATATATGCTCACATGTTGTAAAGGTATATGGAATTAAGGTTTTTGTTTTATATGCCACATTAGACACGAAGTCCCTCAATCCCCAAGACTTGCATATACAATTTACTAAATAAAGTAAGCACATATATTGATAGAAAGTTACCAACTTTGACAAATTTGGCAAGGCCAAATATCAAAAAAAAAAAACTTGCATGGGCCAAAACTATGACATGCCGTTATTCTTGAGTGGTAAATGAAGGGGCAATTATGGAAACTATTTACACCAATGGATAAAAATAACAATTAAAATTCAATACAAATTACATAAACATTTAAAAACAAATTCAAAGTACATAAACATTTGAACACCAATTCAAAGTACATAACACCCTTGTGTACAACATATTAAATTAAAAGCAAAGGAAATTACGTAACTACCCCTCCACAATAAACTACACCTACACTACTCCAAATCCATTAGCTTTGATGCACTGCTACCTTCACCTTCAATGTTCTTTCCCACTTTCAATTTAAGGATTCTTTCAGATTTTTTCCTCATCCTTGGTTGTTCGACTTTAGCAAAATACACTTCTTGATCATTAACCTCTTTATCTTGACCACCAACATCAGCCATTTCAACATCTTCCTGGTCAGCATCACCCATTGCAACATCTTCCCCACCCCTCTGCATGTTCACTAACTCTTGTGTTTGTCTCACACTTTCTGGTTTCCTACCAATAGTCTTAGGAGGCATTTCAACTTGAGGAAAAGTGGTCTTGTAGTGTCCTTTCTGTTTACATACACCACACCATACACATTTCCTAGCCTTTGATATTGTGTGTCTGATAGGCCTTTCTGAACCACCTTTTTTTCTCTTCATAGTAAGTCTTCCATGCATTCTTCTTTTAATTGGTGGCAAAAGAGGGAGTTTATCTATAGATGACCACATGTTCATGTCATTCATCCCATGGATGGGCTCTTTGTAATTATTATGGTATAATGTTGCAAAGTACATTCTATCCACATGTGCCTAATAATGTGTAGTATTTAAGAATGATAATGTTGCATCTGAGTGCACACAACCGTAGCCATTCAATTGCCACAACCTGCATGTACATTCCCTCTTTTGGACATCAACAACATAAGACTGATCCATGTTTCTTGTTTCAAACTTCATAATCTCACAAGAAATAACTTGCCAATACCTAAATTTAGCAACAACAGTTAAGTATTATTCTTTGTTGTGAATTATTTCATTCAATAGTAAATTTAATGACATACCTTTGCTTCATTTTTAACAAATTCAACTTGTAACAGCCCAAAAATCCAGATAAAAAATTTTCATTTAAAAAAAATAGAAATTACAATCATAATTTGTTTCTCAAAATCCATTACATCATATCATATCAAAATATCAGAGCATCAATATCGATAAATGCGGAAATTAAAGGGAGTGAATGTTGCACCATCAAGCCGAGCTCTTCCCCTTAGTACATGAAAACACCCAAATAAACTTTAAGCAAAAGCTTAGTGAGTTCCCAAAATACAACATAACATACAACCACATAATACCACGCCAAATACATAATTTTTCCATGGGCTACCCCCATTGTCTGATATCCAAGAGCCATGGGCTACCCCCATGGTCTTTACCTGGAATGCCATGGGCTAACCACATGGTCTGATATCCAAGTATCATGGGCTACCCCCATGGTCCTCACATAAGTGTTACGGGCTACCCTGAAGTCTTCAAACAATTAATTGCATAACAACTGACAATCCATATGTCAGATAATGGTCCAACATTGGTGCCTTTGACCACTTGATATAGTGAGAAGACTTACCTTAGACTACCGATAAAAATACTGCTCGGCTACCGGTTCGGATATCTCACATTGAATATACACAAGTTAACCTAATTAGAATTAAGTCACAAACTCAAGGCATAGGCCAAAACCTTAAGTCAAAACTCCTCCAATAAGGCCCAAAAGTCTTTCTCCTTTAATGGGCAACATTGAAGATCCAAAACAATTATAGACCACAAGGCCTAAGAGGCCCAACCATGCCACCTATGGTCCAATAAGAAGTTTAATGGGCCAAATACTCTAATAGATCCAGGCCCAAGGCTAAGTAGAGCTCAAAGGGCCAACGAAAAGCCCAAAACTCACTGGAAGCGTACGCCTAGCATACATCATCAGTGCGCTTAATGTACTAGGTTATTTGGCAGTACGCGCAACGTACAAACTAGTACGCCTAGCGTACAAGCTGCTTTGCACAAAAAACCATTAAATGCATAATTCTTGAATCCACTTCATCCAATTCCAGATCTTGGTCATTTTAATAGTCCTAAGTCATAAAGTTGGCAACTTTGTGCATTTGCATGCCATATAGGAACCCAACACCACATTTTATCCATTAAGACTCCTTTAAGATCTTAAACTCATGCATGGTGCCATAAAAACCATCAAGTAAGCATTTTTATTCTTTTAACATGCCAAAGGAACTCAGATCTAACATTTCTAACCTCTGGAGTTACTCGAACTCACAAAAGAGGATGTATAGACCAAAAATGCACTTATTACCAAAGCCTAACTCAAACTAGCAAAAGGATAAGAAAGGTCTAGAATTTTTACCTCCAAAAGTTCCCCACGATGAAGTAAAAGCAGGATCTAGAAGCTCAACCTCGTCCAAGACTTGATCACCAACTTCTCCTTCTTGAAAACACACTAACATGGTCACCAAAATCACTTTTAAGCTCAAGAATCACGCTCACTTTTAAAATAGGGTTTAGGGACGATAAAAGGCAATGGAGGCTGTTTAGGGTTAGGTCCAAATGGCATAAGAGTGTTTAAATAGGCTTCATGCCCTAAAATTAGGGTTTTTGTCTTAGGCCACGTACGCCCCGCGTACATGGTGAATGTGTGCATCCAAACCACCCTAGTACGTTAAGCGTACGCATATATATGCCCAACGTACGTAGGGACATCCTTTACAAATAAGTTTCATTTAAAGGGTTAAAAGGGTAAATATCTGCATTCCAAATGTTACAAATCTCCCCCACTTGAATTAGACTTCGTCCACGAAGTTTGCTGCCTCGAACAATTCTAGGTAGTGCTCCCTCATTTCACCTTTAGGTTCCCACGTCCACTCAGAGCCCTTGTGGTGCTACCATTGCACCTTCACTAGACTCACCTCCTTGTTACGAAGAGTCTTAGTTTACCTATCTGGAATCGCCAGAGGCTTCTCTACATAATTCAAGCGCTTATCAACCTGAATTCCGTCTAATGAAACCACTACAGAAGCATCGACTACACATTTCCACAACTAACATACATGGAAGGTGTTATGGATCTGACTAAGCTCATCCGGAAGATCCAGTCAATATGCAACCCTATCGATCCGGGCATAAATCCTGAATGGACTAATAAATCGGGGTCCCAGCTTGCCCCTCTTCTGGAATCGGATGACACCTTTCCATGGTGACACCTTTAACAACACCATGTCTCCTACCTAAAACTCTAGACCCAAATGACACTGGTCAACCTGCAGTCTATTGCGCACATATTGAATCAACTTGGTGCTCTTAAGCACTACCTTAGTGCTTCCCATGACCCGATGACCGACCTTACCCCAACAAATAGGGGTCCTATACCTTCTTCCATATTTCATCTCGAATGGTGGCCGATCAATGCTGGCCTGATAACTGTTATTATAAGAGAACTTTTCTAGTGAAGGTAAATATCCCAACTCCCTCCTAAATCTAGCACACAAGCTCTAAGCATATCCTCGAGCATCTGGATCGTCCGTTCACCTTGACTGTCGATCTAGGGGTGGTACACTGTACTGAAATGCAGTTGAGTGTGTAACTCCTCATGGAACTTCCACCAAAACCTGGAGGTAAAACAAACATCTCGATCCGAAACCACAGATACTGGCACCCCGTGCCTGACTACTACCTCCCGAACATAGATACCCGCTAACTTTTTCGTGGATATGCTCTCGACAATCGGGATAAAATGCACACTCTTGGGCAGTCTATCCACAAGAACCCATATAGAATCAACACCTCATACCGTCCTGGGTAACTTGGTGATGAAGTCCAAAGTGATTTCCTCCCATTTCCACATAGGGATGGGTAACATATGTATCTTTCCATGAGGTCTCTGATGTTCAGCTTTGACCTTCCTGCAAGTCAAACACCGCTCAACAAACCACACAACTTCCCTCTTCATGCATGGCCACCAATAACTCAACCTCAAATCCTGGTACATCTTCGTGGCCCTTGGATGAATAGAAAATTTGGACTTGTATGCTTCCTCCAAGATTGTCTGCCTCACCTAACCTATCGCCGGAACCCAAACCATACCACACTGAGATAATAACCCCCGACTATCTCTAACAAATAACAGAATCTGCCTCTGCTTCACTCAGTCTTCAAGTTTTATTTCTTCAACCCCTCTACCTAAGCCTCCTTGATCAAATCCATCAAGGGTGAAATAATCTTCATCCTCAAACAAATATATTGGATCGATGAGCACACCGCCTTACGACTCTAAGCATCAGCCAACACGTTGGCATTCTCGGGGTGGTACAAAATCTCGCAATCGTAATCCTTTACCACATCTAACCATCTCCACTACCGCATATTCAAGCTCGGCCGATCCATCAAATATTTCAAACTCTTATGATCAGTGTAGATTGTACATCAGAACCTATATAAATATTTCCTCCAGATCTTGAGGGAAAACACCACAACCCCCAATACCAAATCATGAATGGGGTAATTCGCCTCATGAGGCTTTAGCTGCCTTGAGGTGTAAGCAAGCACATGCCCTCACTGTATAAGGAAATCACCCAAACCCGAAATAGAAGCGTCACAATACACCACAAAATCATCCAATCCCTCAGGTAACGCAAGAATCGGGGCCTCACACAACTTTTGCCTCAGAGTCTTGAAGGCCAACTGCTAATCTGGACCCCACCAAAAGGTCACATTCTTCTTGGTTAAGTGGTTCAAAGGTACTGCAACCCTAGAAAAGTCTTGAATAAATCTTCGATAGCACCCCGCAAGGCCCAACAAAACTCTAGATCTCAGATGCATTCTTTGGAACCTCCCAACGCATCATCATCTTAATCTTGGTTGGGTCCACCAAGATACCCTCTTGGTTGGTGATGTGCCCTATAAACTACACCTCATGCAACCAAAATGCACATTTGTAGAATTTGGCATAAAGCCTCTCTCTCTTGAAGGTCTCCAACACTTCTCACAAATGTTGTTTATGCTGTTCCTTGGTCTTGGAGTAGACCAAACTATAATCAATGAAAACAATAACAAACTAATCCAGTATCGTCCTGCAAACTCGGTTCATTAGATCCATGAAAGTTGTTGGTGCATTGGTGAGCACGAATGGCATCACCACGAACTGATGGTATCCCTACCAAAGATCATTCTTGGAGAACCAATATGCACCATGAGGTTCATCAAGAAAATCGTGTAACACCGTCAAATTTCAAACAATTTTTTTAATTTTAAAATCATATAATTCTTGTAACACATTTCACAGAAATCTCATTAATTTAATTTACAAAACACAACTCCGTAATTGTTTGATTAATACTCTAGGATCCTCAAAACATGACTCCTTCTCTAGTGTGTACAATCAAACCGGTTCCTTCCCTCGATCCTGAGAAAACCTGAAACACATATCACATAACACAGTAAGCACGAAGCCTAGTGAGTTACCTAAAATACCACATACAACACATTAGCCAGTTGAGCTTATAACTCTGTAAGACCCTCCAGTCAATGTGTCTCAGTGGGACCCTCCTATCCCACAACTCTGATGGACCCTCTGGTCCTAACTGTGGGGACCCTTTGGTCCTAACTCTGTAAACCTG